TGCACCAATTTGCAGTCCCACCAGCAATGTGCAAGTGTACCCTTTTCCCCACATCCTCGCCAGCACTTGTTGTTGTTTAACTTCATAATGGCTGCCAATCTTACTGGAGTGAGATGGTATCTTAGGGTGGTTTTGATTTGCATTTCTCTGACTGCTAGAGATGGTGAGCATTTTTTCATGTACTTATTGATTGACTGTATGTCCTCCTCTGAGAAGTGTCTGTTCAGGTCCTTGGCCCATTTGTTGATTGGGCTATTTGTTATCTTATTTTTTAATTTTTTGAGTTCTGTGTATATTCTGGATATTAGGGCTCTATCTGAAGTGTGAGGAGTTAAAATTTGTTCTCAGGATGTAGGTTCCCTATTTACCTCTCTTATTGTTTCTTTTGCTGAGAAAAAACTTTTTAGTTTAAGTAAGTCCCATTTGTTTATTCTTGTATTTAACTCTTGGGCTATGGGCGTCCTATTAAGGAATTTAGAGCCCGACTCCACAATATGTAGATCAGAGCCAACTTTTTCTTCTATCAGGCGCAGAGTCTCTGATTTGATATCAAACTCTTTGATCCATTTTGAATTAACTTTTGTGCATGGCGAGAGAAAGGGTTTCAGCTTCATTTTGTTGCATATGGATTTCCAGTTTTCCCAGCACCATTTGTTGAAGATGCTATCCTTCCTCCATGGCATGCTTTTAGCCCCTTTATCAAATATAAGAAAGTTGTAATTTTGTGGATTGGTCTCTGTGTCCTCTATTCTGTACCATTGGTCCACCTGCCTGTTTTGGTACCAGTACCACGCTGTTTTTGTTACTATTGCTTTGTAGTACAGTTTGAACTCTGGTATCACTATACCTCCAGATTCACACTTCCTGCTTAGAATTGCTTTTGCTATTCTGGGTCTTTTGTTTTTCCATATGAATTTCATGATAGCTTTATCTATTTCTACCAGAAATGCCGTTGGGATTTTGATTGGCATTGCATTGAACCTGTAGAGAACTTTGGGTAATATCGCCATTTTGATGATGTTGGTTCTGCCTATCCATGAACAGGGTACATTTTTCCATCTTCTAAGATCTTCTTCTATCTCTCTCTTTAGGGTTCTGTAGTTTTCATTGTATAAATCTTTCACCTCTTTTGTTAGGTTAATTCCCAAGTATTTTTTTCTTTTTTGAGGATATTGTGAATGGGGTGGTTTTCCTCATTTCCATTTCAGAAGTTTTGTTGCTGATATACAGGAATGCCTTTGATTTATGTGTGTTGATTTTATATCCTGCCACTTTGCTGAATTCATTTATTAGTTCTAGTAGTTTCTTTGTAGACCCTTTTGGGTCTTCTAGGTATAGGATCATGTCTTCCGCAAATAGTGATATTTTAAGTTCTTCTTTTCCTATTTTTATGCCTTTAATTTCTTTTGTCTGTCTAATTGCTCTGGCTAGTATTTCAAGGAGTAAATTGAATAGAAGTGGTGAGAGAGGGCATCCCTGTCTTGTTCCAGATTTTAGAGGGAATGCCTTCAGTTTTTCTCCATTTAGAATGATGCTAGCCTGAGGCTTAGCATATATAGCTTTTACAATGTTGAGGTATGTTCCTGTTATCCCTAGTTTTTCTAGAGTTTTGAACATTAAGGGATGATGTACTTTGTCGAATGCTTTTTCTGCATCTATCGAGATGATCATATGGTTCTTATCTTTAAGTTTATTGATGTGGTGAATAACATTTATTGATTTCCGTATATTGAACCAGCCTTGCATCCCAGGGATGAATCCTACTTGATCATGGTGCACAATTTTTTTAATATGCTTTTGTATTCGATTCGCCAGGATTTTATTGAGAATTTTTGCATCTATGTTCATTAGAGATATTGGTCTGTAGTTTTCTTTCTTTGCAGTGTCTTTGTCTGGTTTCGGGATCAGGGTGATGTTGGCCTCATAGAATGAGTTTGGAAGAGCTCCTTCTTTTTCTATTTCTTGAAATAGCTTGAAAAGTATTGGTATTAATTCTTCTTTGAAAGTTTTGTAAAACTCTGCTGTATACCCATCCGGTCCAGGGCTTTTCTTGGTTGGTAGTATTTTGATGGCTTCTTCAATTTCTTCCTTTGTTATTGGTCTGTTTAAATTGTGTGTGTTTTCCTGACTCAATCTGGGCAGATCATATGACTTAAGAAATTTATCGATATCTTCACTGTCTTCTATTTTATTAGAATATAGGGTTTCGAAATACTTTCTAATTATCTTCTGTATTTCTGTAGTGTCTGTTGTGATATTGCCTTTTTCAACCCGTATGTTAGTAATTTGAGTTTTCTCTCTTCTTCTCTTCGTTAGCATGGCTAAGGGTTTGTCGATCTTATTTATTTTTTCAAAGAACCAACTTTTAGTTTTATCAATTTTTTCAATGTTTTTTTTTTGTTTCAATTTCGTTGATTTCTGCTCTGATTTTAATTATTTCTTGTCTTCTGTTATATTTGCTGTTGTTTTGCTCTTCCTTTTCTAGGGTTTTGAGATGTAGTGTGAGTTCATTTATTTGTTGTTTTTTTCTTTTTTTGAGGAATGTATTCCAGGAAATGAATTTTCCTCTTAAAACTGCTTTCATTGTGTCCCATAGGTTTCGGTATGTTGTGTCTGTATTGTCATTTATCTCTAAGAATTTTTTGATTTCCTCCTTTATGTCTTCTGTAACCCATTGATCGTTCAGTAACATATTGTTTATTTTCCATGTGATGCATGATTTTTCCTTCCTTCTTTTATCATTGATTTCCAGTTTCATTCCATTATGATCAGATATGGTGCATAGTATTATCTCCACACCTTTATATTTACTAAGAGTTGCCCTATGGCATAATATATGATCTATCTTTGAGTAAGATCCATGTGCTGCTGAGAAGAACGTGTATCCACTTGATGATGGTTGATATATTCTATATATGTCGGTTAAGTCTAGGTTATTGATTGTGTTATTGAGTTCTCTAGTTTCTTTATTCAGCTTTTGTCTGGAGGATCTGTCTAATGGTGAGAGCGGTGTGTTGAAGTCACCCATAATTATTGTGTTGTGGTCTATTTGACTCTTGAACTTGAGGAGAGTTTGTTTTATGAACGTTGTCGCACCATTGTTTGGTGCATACAAATTGATAATTGTTATGTCTTCTTGGTGGATGGTTCCTTTTAACAGTATATAGTGTCCTTCTTTATCCCTTTTGATTAATTTAGGTTTGAAGTTGATTTTATTCGATATGAATATGGCCACTCCTGCTTGCTTCCGAGGGCCATGTGAGTGGTATGATTTTTCCCAACCTTTCACCTTCAGCCTGTGTATGGCTTTTCCTATCATATGAGTCTCTTGAAGACAGCATATTGTTGGATTTGGTTTTTTGATCCAGGTTACTAGCTTATGTCTCTTGATTGGTGAGTTTAGGCCATTAACATTTAATGTTACAATTGAAATATGATTTGTACTTCCACTCATGTTTATTTATTTATTTATTTTAGTTTGGCTAGTTTTTACTTTTTGGTTATTTTCCTCCCCCTTTACTGAGATACCGCCTGCTGTTAGTTTTGGGCACTATTTTTCAATTCTATATGTATCTTTAAATAAAATTTTTATTGAATTTTAAATATGTATAAATCATAAAGAGTAGCTATATGAATTTTTAATGGATATGCCCATGGACATACAAGATAAAGAAATAATCCATTACTAATACCCAATACTTCCCTGCTATGCCTGGTGATTTTTTAATAACTGCTGAACATTTTATATGTTATAAATATAGAGGTTCAGAATAAAACATGTTGCTAAATAGAGGTCTTTCTTAGGCTTCTGTTCAAATAGAGACAGCTCAGCTTAGTCTATTCAGAGCTTGATATGAGGTGTAAGTCTCACTGAGGCCTGATATAATCATCATATAATCATCATGCATCAGAACTTCAGTGATCTTGACAAAAAGCATCAAATATTTATCATTACCACTCTTCTTGGCAGCAAGAAAATCCAGTTTTTGACCCCTCATCCAATGGCTACTACCAATCCTCTTCAGATTCATTCACCTTTAGTTGTTTTATCTGTACTCAGCTTTTTAGTCTAGCTTTAGATCAGTTACAGATTGGTAGAAATTGTGTCTGTAGTTTTTAAACAAAAGATGAAGAAATCTCTGATGACTGTTTTACCTGCTTTTTCTCCCTACATTTTGTTTATATGTTATTAAATATTTTATACTGCAGCATAATGGACTTTTGACTTTTTAATTTAGGGTTTGTCCTTAGCCTTCTGTGAACTATCCCACACTATGGTAGAGATAGGTAGAGGCCAAGTGCTGAACTCAGGATTTGATTAGACAGCAGTTTCCATCTCAAGCCACACATGACAAAGTAAACTTGATTGTGCCCAAGTCATTGACCAACATAATATTTTGTAGTTGTAAGGTGAAACATTTACCTTTAAACTAGGTAGCACATACTAATCCTCACCTTCCCATAGGCTATATGATTATAGAGGAATAATTCCACAAGTATGTGGTACTCAAATTCTTGATTTAGATATAAATCATGACAATAACTAAGGTGATATTTAGTGATAGTATTAGCATGCTTGAGAATATCTCCTTGTATACCACTTTATTTTATAATGTCTTAGGTTTTATTTTTAAACGGTGAAAATTATGTGATTAAAACCATAGGAATGGTACATTTCAGGGATAAAGAGCTACATATGTGTATATATACTTGCCACTCATAAAATGTGAACAAGATAAAGGTAAAATCATTTCCTGAAAAGTAAGCCTCCAGGAAATACTTGACATTTTCAAGATGTTTGCCCTTTAATATCATCATTTGCTTTTTCCATCAGTTTTTGAGATGTCTGAAAACTTCAGGCTGAGGCTGCTGCTTCCTGACTAGGAATAGGAATCAGACGCTTTTCAAATAGAGAAATGCCGGGGATGGCAACTTAGCTCAATGCAAAATAAAAATAGCTCCTCTCACTTTCAATCATCTTTTTTTTTTTTTCCCTTAAGACCTCAACTGCCACAGTAAACGTGGTAGTGACAGATGTCAATGACAATGCTCCAGTGTTTGATCCATATCTGCCTAGAAACTTATCTGTGGTGGAGGAGGAAGTCAATGCCTTTGTGGGTCAAGTAAGGGTAAGTGGAATAAATGTGTTTCTAAAAAAAATGCATGGTTTCTTACACTTTAATTTTGGAAAAGAGATGAAGCTAATGTAATCTGTTAAATGACTTTGCTGGATACTCTTCAAGTTTTTTTTTTGTTTTAAATCTTATCCTATTCATCTAGATTTAACTTATTAAGCATGTAGATTGCATTTTATGATTGTTGTGTAATTTAACATTGACTAATATAAGATTGTTCTTATTTAATATATTTTTTGGACATAAGATATATTTTTTTGGACATAAGATATTTTTAGAGAACTGTGTAATTAGGTTCAGATAGAAATATTCAAAGCATAAAATACATAAATTTACATGTGAATTGACTTGACCATGTAAACAATATTTAGTATTGATTAAAGGTCCTGTATTTCATACATGTTCTTTGGCCAGCACTCTCAAGACTCAGTTCTAGGCTGTTCTCCAGGAAATATAATTTAGATATGAAGGGCCCCTGAGAACTTTGGGTTGGAAATGTGATGTCCAATGTAGCAATGGTTAGAGATGACAATCATTAGACTATGAGATCTGTAACCTCATGTGTGTATTGATCCATTGGATGGATTAATTTGAATGGACCACTAGGTGGTAACTATAGGTGGTGGGGCGTGACTAAAGGAAGAAAATCACTAAGGGTGTGACTTATGCACCTTGGCTTATATTGTCCATGGAGCCTTTTGCTTGCTCTCTGGTTCCTGGGTGGCCTAAACTGATCAGCTTTCTTCCTCCATGGCCTTCCACCATGATATTTTGCCTTACCTCCATCTTAGAGCAATGGAATCAGCTGACTATGGACTGAGCCTCTAAGCCATGATTCCAAAATAAAATTTTCATGAAGAGCATATTATGAAGAGATTTTTTAGTGGAGCAAACTATTTGCATCTTGTGCCAGGAATAGAGAGAGTCGAAGAGGCTGAGTTCCTACAATTCCCATTAAGTGTAGTTTTTTCCTATTATAGCCTCTTTAAAGTTTTGCCACCTCTCAATTGTGCCACGCTCAGGACCAATCCTTTACCACATGAACCTTTGGAGGGCATTCATCTAAACCATACCATTATTGGAGAAAAGAATCCTCCTGTAGGAAAATGTGAGCAACCTGGTTGTCTAAATTCCAGCTTTCAGGGTCCTGCTTATTCCCTGTTCATGCCCTGACTTTTGAACAGGATTATTGGTGCTTTGAAGTAAGCCTTTTCTATAATTCAGACCTGGTTTTATATCCAATCTTCTGCAATAGCAAAGGAGGGATTTTTCTTTAGACTTTCTTGTGTTCTGGGATTTTGTCTAGTTTGAACCTATCCCTTATCATATAAAAATTAGGAACTCCACAGTCATTATAATTATCTTTGTCATTATCAAAGCCTGTAGAGACTGTATAAAACATACATCCTCTTCATTTGTATGCCACCCACCCTAATTCACCGCAGGGGAGAATCTGGGTCATTGTGACATTACAATCTCCTGGTGGTTCTTTTGGTTTCCTGGCCCTGGAAGGATTCAACTCCACAAATCCATCTGAAGGATCCACTTCCCTTGCCATATCTCTGATGTCAAATGTCTTACCACAAGGAAAAAAAATTAGAGACAAAAGATTCAGGTGTATATAATCTTTTTGAGAAATCCAGGTAGCACTAAAGGAGAGATAAGAGAGATATGCAAAAAAAGGAAAAGGAACAGCACCCAATAAAGGATTACCTTTAAATCAGTTATTACTAGAAGAACTAGAGTTTGGTATCAAAGGGTATCTAAGAAAAGGTATAAACTTGTACATAGATTTATTTATCCCCACTAGTGATGGAAATGGAAAATTCATACACTAAATCATGAGAGTGCATGGCTGCAGATGCTTGGGGTGAAGTGGCAATGTTTTGGCCTTTCTTCATCACCAGTAAGTAGGCAAATACTGACATAATACTGATAGAAGGATGCAAATTCTGAGGTATGTTAGGCTACAGATGCTAGCAGGTGAAAGTTGGCTAGAGTATGCGAATGTTCCAAGGATAGCATTGGACACTGAAAATTTCTCCCATACCAAACTAAGAAGGTGACACATTCTTTACTTTTTTTTTTTTTGGTGCTGGGTATTGAACTCAGGGATGCTTAATACTGAGCCACATCCCCAGCCCTTTTATTATATTTTGTTTACAGACAGGGTCTTGTTAAATTGCTTAGAGCCTCACTAAATTGCATGGCTAGCTTTGAACTCACAATCCTCCTGCCTCAGCCTCCTTAGCTGCAGGAATTAGGCCTGCATCAGGAAGCCTGGCTCTAAAGTGATAAATTCTTCATTTGGTACATATGCAGAAATCATGGAAAGCGATAAATGCAGAAATTTGTTCATAAAGGATGAATACTGGTAAGAGTGAAGTTGGGAGGGGTCGGTTACTATCAAGGCAAAGGTAATTGTGTAAGAAAAGGCAATTGTGTAAGTAAAGGCAAGAGCAATGCAAGCAAACCATATCATAAGACATGCCATATCATAAATATTTCCCTAGGCCACATTATAGAAGATGCTGGGGTTCCCATGAAGAATCTGAGGTATGACAACATCAGTTTTCTGAATAGCTTATAGTTGGAAGATCCTAAATTTTGAAAGGGGAAATAAGAGGCAATTGTAAAAGTACAAGAATATGAGTCCTGAACTAATCATACTGGTGATTAAATTACATTGTGGTTTTTATTCTACAATATAATATTTTGAGAACAAATTATTTTAATTGTATACATCAACTACAGGTATTGAAATAATTTGTGAAAATTGACTTTCTCATTTTCTTAATATTTGGAATTGAGGTAAAACCATATGAAGTATACAATTAAAATGCACAAGTAGACATCAATAAAATTATTATTTCTAGTTTAATTTTCATTTTTCTTGTTTCTGGCACTTTTTCTGGTGATTGTTTGTTCCTGAAAATTTCCTGCATTAACCTTTCTCCTCCTCGCCTTGTTTTTCAATTTGATGAGAAATAGCTTCTGTAATTTGTTTTAGTTTTAAAATTTGAAATATGAATGTAAACACTCATAATTTAATACAGTATAGTTACCCTGTTCTTTAGGCAAAATGTGTTTTCATAAAACTAAAATGATTTCAGAAGTACAAAGGAAGAGAAAAATATGCAAAGCAGCCTACATCCAACTGATTCTGCAGTTTTGGAGAAGTTGTAATGTTCTTGGAATGGAATTTTGATGCATCATAATGGTCTCCTGTTGCTATCTAATGATAATTATATAATACATTAATTTTGCTAAATGACTCATGCTACACTTATAAAATTTAATTTTAATTGTCACCAAAAACTATTAAGACCCACTTAAAGCCAAGTTATGTATGGTTAATTACTCTACTGAATTTGAGTTATTGGTTTGTGTTTATGTTCTAATGATATGTTAATATGAATAATCTAATATTTGTATTCAAAAGCTGAAGGAACTTTTTATCTACTTTTTTAAAGGTAGTGTCATAGTTATTACTACAACCATATTAACAAGAAGTACTTCTGAAGTAATATTTATAGGTTATATGTAGCAAAAAAAGTGTTGTTCAGCATAGGAAAAAATAAACTCCAAACCAGCAAATATAGATCTAACTACTCACAAGGTATAATATAACACCTTCAGAATTGAAAATCTTATTAATATTGTCAAAGTACTTGTGGTAGCAGGAGAGTAAGTGGGAAATGACGTGAGCAGAATCAACCTAATAAACACAGTAATAATATATTGTTTTAAGTGTCAAATGGGTAATATAAATCATTTCCTAGAATAACTCAGAGCTGTTACATTGAATTGAGGTGACCAGGTCATGATTGATGGGAAAATCATCCCATCATCCCAATTCCTTTTGACCTATTAGTAACATTTTAGGTTTGGAAAAAAGTAAAAGAAAATTAAGATATCAGGCAAAATGAGAAGATATAAGATACAATGAAGACTAAGAGGCATTTAGAAGATACTTATTCAACAGCCAACAATAATGGAAGATTTAAAACAATTTGCATCAATGGGTCCTAGTGAAATAGTGATAGATAACAGAATCTGTCATTTTGCTATTTTGTTTTGGATCCTTCACAGTATCTCACAGGAGATAGGGTATGCATGTCCTGACTGGATCACAAGCAAGCCCATGGTTTATATTCAGAAATGGTCCCAGATAAAAGATGCCTCATACTAGCTACTGTAGAACTTTGATGACCCCACGTCCCTCAGTCAACAGATAGCAGCAAAAGACCCTAAATGTTTCTGTGAAGTCATAGGCTGTTAAATCTACAACCTGGACCTTAGGTCCCTTGGAGCTGTGCTAAAAGGACCACATATTTTCTGCTCTGTGAAATGTACAGCAGAGTATGATGAAATCTCTGTGATGGGCCATTGAGCCTTCAGATGGATAGACTCTAAAGAAAGCTCTCTTCCCCTGTTAGATTCACCAGACTTCTCATTTTACCTCCTGCCCCTTATTATTCCTTATACTTTTGATGAAAATACTGTTGTTTTGATTCATCCTTGCACTAAGTCATGTTGTTTTGTCACTCCAGATCCAGCCCTATAATACATAGACCTTGATGAACAGGTTAAATCTCAAGCTCTGGAATCATACTGAGTTAAGATTAAGTTATCAAAATGATTATTGTTGTTGTTAATAAGTAATGCAACCTCTCTGGGACTGGACTTCTTTATCAACAAATCGAGGTAGAATAGAATTTTGAATTTAGATAACAGAATTTCCTGTAGTGATTGGAAGGATTAATACACACATCATGTAGGTAACATTGAACATAAAGGAGAATGAGATTGCCTTTGCTTGAGCACATTTTCCACTCTAGGAGCTTCAGGTGCATCTCTTTGTGTGGATAGGCACAGTGGAGGGTTGGGGAGGGGAGTGGAAGGAGGAAGGTTTGAGCTCATACAAAATGTGTCTAGGCTTCATAGTACCATTTCATGGAGAAATTTCTTAAGTGCCGGAATTCTTCAGAATA